CTTAAAGTATACTTTTTGTCTTATTAATATGGTTATACTAACATGATATCTTTTGTTACTTTTGGAAATTTCTCAGACATGATCTCTTCAAATACTACTTCTCCACTATTCCCGCCCTTTCTTTCCAGACTCCAATTAAACACGTGTTAGATTTATTCAATATATCCCCATCCCCTCCTTTGGTATTCTCCATCATTGTGTCTCTCCAGGCTACATTTTGAATATTTTCTTCACACCTAGCTTTCGTTTCTCTAAGTCATCTATCAAAGTGGGGAATTTGCCTTTGACCCTTGAACCATAACACCAAACATTCAGGGTAGTTTTTATTATTCCCCTAGAGCAGAAGAGGAAGGTAAGTGTTAGAGATGTTAAGCAACTTGTCCTGGGTCACCCAGACTGAAAACAGTAGAGGAGGGACTAACATCACAGAATAGACCCTCTGCCCAAGCCCTTCCCTCTGTGCTGCCTCTCTCCTGGGCTGCGAATGCTCCCTACCTCTCATCTCCCAGGAAGTGGAGCCACAGTGAAGTCTTTCAACCTTTGTAGCGCTGTGCTATATTTCTTTCTACATTATAAAAGTCAGTGAAATTACTTCACTAGCCATAGTGTTTTCACAGGACTTTTTCTGGCATTTGGGCCATTGATTTCTTGTTCTCATTTCAGAGGAGGACAGTCACCAAGTTAATTCTCTTCAAAGAAGAGCAAGATGCTGGGGTATTTTCCAAAGAAGGTATGTCAGTTGGTCTGAAACATTCAGCCCTGGCATTCATCCATCATCACGCCAGGAACAAGATGGAGACGTGGCAATGAGAGATGCCCATGTGGGCCCTGGAGTAAGATAGTAAGTGATCACTCAGCATGGTGCCATTTACCAGTCAATGGAATATATAACCCTGTACGTAACTCTGTCATTGCTTTTCTCCAACCCCATAGAGTGAGGTATGCTAGGACCAGATTAATGGTTCAACAAACATTATTATAGCCTTGACATCAGTAGGGCGAGGTGTTAGAAGACTTTCTTGGCACTCATGGATGCCTTCTTTCTCTCCACATCCACACAGCACCCCCTATGCCATTCCAACTTACTGGCGGAGAGACAGTTTTCACAGAGGAGACCAAACCCATGGTAACCCGGAGAGAGAGAGAAAACCTCCAGAGGAAGGATTGGAGGGGAACAGGCAGGATGGGACCTCCAGGAGCTGGTTCAAGGTCATAGTGAGTGTCCTGGCAAACTTCACTAATGTGCAGGAGACAAAGGTTGGGTGGAGCTGTGCTGATCTCCTGGAGACACTAGGTACTTTGCTGGGGCACAGGGAGTTGGTAATTTCTCTTTTTTCTTACTAGGTGTAAACAGCCTCCACTGGTCTTAAGGTAGGCTGGGAGAAGTAATGAAAAGAGAACAGGCTGAGGGAGGGGAGAATGGGAAGTTTGTGAAAAGGCAAATGTGGGAACTTCTCACAAGAGCAATCCCCGCCCCCACCAGATGGCTCAGTTTGGCTCAAACTTAGGGATTGGAGGAGAGGACAGGGATGGGGTTGAGTCTCTGGATTCCTTGTCGAAGGGGCAGGCAGGATGTGCATTAGGTAGAATCTCCTGCAACCTTATAAAGGGAAGATCATGTTAAAGATCTTAAGTTGATTATTTGGAGAAAAATGTTTGAATGGAAAGAAACGCTATTTAGCAAACCCATGTCTGGTACAAAAGTTAGAAATAGTGGATACTGACCATTGTTTAGAAATTATTTTAAAGCTTGCTAAAAGATCCGTAAGGAACGTATGGTTGGGTCTCTCTTTAAGTTTTATTTCCATCATGTCAGTCTCCTCTCCCATTCTTTCTTTTGATCGTAGTTTCCATTTGGTATAAAATATGATGAGAAGTGGCTGCTGAATTTGATCCAGAGCCAATGTAGTGTTCCCTTCAACCCAATCGAGGTAAGAGAGGACAAGGAGGCAGCCGAGTGGGCCCAGGGCAGGTGGAAGGGCCAGGCTGAGTAGGAATTCTGGCCTCATATTGTATTTCTCTTGCCCCTCCACCTGAAGTTTCACTATGAGAAAATGCAGGTCCAGTTCTTTGGTGAAAATGCCAGCATTGCCTTTGCATTGAAGAAAGTGAGCGGCAAGATTTGGGATGAAGAAAATGAAAGAGTGCATGTCACAGCATGGCCAGGGCTAGCTGGGGGCAGGAGGGCAGGCTGGAGGATGGATCTTGCTTGATCTTGGGTTTCAGAGATCCTGGTACTTACCCAAACTCTCTTATCTTCTCTGCAGATATCTATCTTTGTCAGTCCCTCTGCTATACCCCACTCTGAGCAGAAGAAGCTAAAGTCAACAAAAGTGAAACTCATAAAGGTAATGCAGACTCAAGACACGTGCACCCACACCCACAGCTTCTTCTCTCACCAATTTCCCCCTACACCACCCCGGTGTCAGAGCCACTTCCGTCCGTCTCTGTCTCTGCAGAAGACCAACATCAAAGGACATGAAGTCCCCCAGAGAGCTCTTGACCTCCAGAGACTCCACTCAGACCCAGGTATGACTGACAGCAGTAATTCTAATGCAGGTGTGGGCAGAGGGCCCTTTCTGGGAGGGAGGGTAGGAGGGCAACTTAGGGAGGTGTTGGTGTTGGGGCTGGTCCAGCCAGGCCCCTCTCATCCTTCTGATTCCCTCCTCTTGGCTTCCTGAAGACCCGATGACCCTTGATATTGAAAAGGGGCCAAATCTTAGAAACTGCATGGCTGCATCCCTGCACATCCATGAAGAGAACATGCGCAAGGTGAGACATTAGACCCAGTGATGAGGGGGATGGTGGGACAGATTGGGTGGGGGGCACATTTGTCTCAGATATCACCTTTTGGACCGTCAGTCTAGTTCTTCCCTCATCACAGCTTTTGTCCTTGAAGTTGAGCAACAACACACCCTACCAGCTTGTTGGCCTGCCGGACACCATGCAGAAGGCCCCCAACATCAAGAGCCTGAACCTCTCCAAAAATGAGGTGAGAAGTCATAGCCAGAGTGATTTGCACTGAAGGTGGTCGGGCTCATTAGAGTGATGAAAAGAGGTAGACAAGGCTATTTGTGGGGGAGGGTGGATCTGCGGTGCAGGGCCGTCCTGGCTGTCTCCCTGACTCCTGTTTCCTTGACATAATTACAGGTGAATTCTGAAGGGGAGTTGGACAAGGTGAAAGGGCTGGAGCCAGAAGAGAGGTGTTCGGACAGAAACCCTCTGTGCACCACCTTCCCAGATAAGTCCACAAACATAAGGTCAGTTGTGCCATCTATTGCCCCCTGGCAGCCTGAGCTGCCCCTGACAGTGCTCATATGCAGGAGGCTGCAGCCCAGTCCTGTGGGAGGACCATGTGCCCTGCCCTCTCCTCTCTCTGTCTTTCACCTGTGCTTAGAGGTCTCCCTGCCTTCCTCTGGCCTGCTCACTGCTCCCCAGGAGCTAGTAACTGTTTCCTGCCTCTCTGCACCCAGCAGACTCTGGCATAGCCTCCTCGGAGATACTCCAGGAAGCAGGGCTCCCCCTTCCTCTCCAGGACCAGGGGTGTCTAGACTGTGCCCTGCTCCCCTACTGGGGCTGCCTTGAGCCAGATCCTGGTGCCCAGGGCTGCAAAGGCTCCTCCTGACCAGGGCCTCCTGCTGAGACAGGCCTTCCTGCCTCTGAGCTGAGATGGGACTTCCTTCCCTGTCCTGTGATGGGCACTCTCTCCCTTGCTCTGAAAAGGTCCCCCCACCTGTCGGAGGCCTATATCTTATCATGACATCTGTTCTCCTGGCCCATTGAAGGAGCTGGACCATACTGGGGGAGAAAGCTCGGTTCCCTGAGTCAAAGATCAGAAGCGGGTCTCCTCCGCTGAGCAGAGGGCATCCCGAGGCAGGTGCCTAGTGTGGAAGGCAGAGGGTAGAGGCAGATGAAGAGACAGGGGGACAGTCCTCTCAGGGGCACTGCCCCCCTTCCCTCCACCACCTCATGGCATCCTGCCTGGTCCTTCAGAGGAGGACTGGGTAGACCAAAATGGTCTGATTCCTCAGACAAGGGACCAACAAAGACAGGCACAGTTGTACAGGGGCCATCAGGGGAGAAGGTGGCACTCATAAGAGGGGCCACAGACCCTCAACCCCATGCTGTGGCTTTACCTGAACCTTTGTTCCTGGCGAAGGTCTCCTGCCCCATTGACTGCTCTGTTTCCCATGCCCAATTCAGATGGCATCACGCAGGTGACAAAGGCCAGTGGGCCCCATCCCAGCAAGTACCTGTTTTCCATTCCTACCTCGGCCCCAGGGCCAGCCAGGGGCAGAGGAAGGATAGGGCAGCAGCAGGAGAGCTATTTCCCCTTTCTTCCCTCCTTTCTCCCTAATCCCCACCACCCACAGTAAACTTCTTCCCCTTGCCTTTCCTTGGCTTTCTCTTTCTCTTTAGTCTCCACTCC